GCTTCCGGCCCCATCCTGCTGTCTCTCGCTCATCGCCATCTCCGTGCAGGGAGCTCCGTGGTGCCCTAGGAGTGGCCCCCAGCTGATGGCCAACGGTGCAGGGGGTGGAGAGAGCACCCAGATTCCGTGCCCTGAGGGCCCCACGGGACTGGGCTGGCTGCTACCAGCGGATAATGCACCTTCCTCAGTTTCTTGCCGGCCCTGACCTACTTTTTGGGACCCACATCCACACTGACTCGTCGGGCCCTGTCTCAGCAGCTGCCGGTTCAGGAGGAGGTCTGCACTGCGGTCTGACCTGGCAAGGCCCCAGACACCACCACCCTGGCTGACGGGCCTGTCCCGGGCCCTGACCTAGGCTCCCCGTGGAACCTTCTGCTCTGAGCTGCACCCCAACCCCACAGGCCTCTGGGCTTGGCCTTCAGCCCTCCGCTCTCCCGCCTCCACCCTGCTGACCCTCATCACCCTTCCCCCTCCCCCGACTTAGTTCCCACCACAAGCTCAGTTCCCAACACAGCAATGATCGGGTCTCCCCAGATTCTTGTTGCTTGTGTCACGTGAGAGAACTGGAAATAGCATGCAGCCCGTGTGGCCTGGGAAGCATACGGTGTTCCACATACTTGTCCCCAGGGCATGGGTTTGCTCGCCAAGGCCCCCGCGCGCGGCCTGTGCTCTGAGGCATGGTGTCCCTCCGGTCCCTGGCCAGGCTGCGTGCCCACTGCGCCCCCCACTCGCTGTGTGATCTGGGACAGAGCACGTGGCCTCTCTGAGTCTCCGTTTTCCCAAGAGCAGCAGCAGGGTAACTGCTGAGCTGCTCTCGGGGCAGCTTTGGGGCTGATGTGTGAGGGAATCTGAGAATCCTTTGTGACCCTAAAACACTGGCTCATTCTTCTCCAGAGATGGTGTGGAAGGAAGTGGGTGAGGGGGTAGGGAGGATGAGGCCCTACTGTGTGCCCATCTTGCTGCAAACCCCACTTCATGGGGGTGGAAACAGAGGCCTGAGGATGAGGGTGGGGAGGGGTGTGAATTCAGATCTGAAGGAATCAGGACCCATGCTTTCCCCACGTTACTGCGCGGCTGGGTGATTTTTACGTTGTTCCATGTGCTCTTACAATCCATTTGAGCACTTTCTGTACCAGTTCACAGTGCCTAGCTCAGTTCCTGGCATGCAGTAGGCGCTCAATAGATGCGTGATGAGTGAATAAAAGCCCTGATGCTACCTTTACAAAGACCCACGTGGGTACATGCTCCCTGCTCGTGAGGAGGAAACCCAGCCCTGTGTGGCCGGATGCACCAGGAAGGAAATGAACATGACAGAGTGTGGAGCAGGCCCAGGGTGCCTGACCGGTGATGGCCGGTGCCTCCGGGTGGTGAGGACAGTGGCCCCTCTTGGGATCTCCTCTGCACCCCCACAGCCTCACCAGGAAGTTTCCCCCTAAAAAACAAAGTGGGAACCAAACAGGGCGGTGGTTGGCACTTTGCCCAAAGCGCGGAGCACACACGCTTGGGAGCTGAGGGAGCATTGCTGGCATTCCAACCAAGTGTGGTGCAACCTCTGGCTGGGCATCTGGCGAGGAAGGGCTCTGTGCTGAGGGAGCCTCCCCAGCGGCCCTGCTGGGACAGGGAGTGGTCCTGAGGCTGAGCCGGACAGTGTCTGTCCCCACCAAGAGGATGCCTTTCTCCACTGCAGGCTCCAAGGGACACCTTGTGAGGGGCGGGGGAGGGGGGGCGCGAGGAGGGGAGAGGAGGACCCTGTGCCCTAATGAATCTCAGGCTTGTTTTCTTGCCTGGGGGCAGGGCAGGCACTGGACTTCCTGCCAGGGACCCCCTTTCTCAGCTACTTTGCAAACCACCGGCTGTGACGTAGCTGGGTTCCCCCTGCGGGCTGGCCGCAGCTGCAAGCGGAAGCTGCTGCTCTATGACTGCAGGGCCAGCCCGTGCCAGGACCCAGCTTGGCCCTTCCCGGGCCTGCTGTGCTGCGTGCTGCCCGCTGGGCTTCCTCCTCTCCTAGGCAGGTCCTGTGCTCCTGGCCTCCGCTGATGGGGGGCAGGGCTGTTCTTAGACATGGTGCTTCCAGCCCATTGAGTGAGGCAACACGGTGGCCCTCCAGACTCAGTTTCCTCATCGGTCATGGGGAGAGGGCCCTCTGTCTTTGCTCACAGGGCAGATGGGAGACCCGGATGAGAATCGTGGTGTGGCAGATGCTCTTAAGGGCGCAGGCATGAACACGAAAACAAAGCCTTTCTTGTCCCCTATGGTGGTAGGCAGCCTTCTAAGATGACCCCTCAGGGTCCCCACCTCCTGGTGGTCTTGTGGGATGTGGTGCCCTCTCCTTGAAGGGGGCTGGGCCTGCTGACCCGCCTCACACAAACAGAACATGGCACGAGTGATGGGATGTCTCTTCCGAGATTAGGTTATGAAGGATGGTGAGTCCCATCGTGTTCGTCCGCTCCCTCTGGCTTTTCTCGCTTGTCCCTTCTGACGGAGCCGGCTGCCGTGTCCTGAGCTGCCCCAGGGAGCGGCCCCTGCGGCTGGGACCTGAGGGCGACCTCTCGGGGGAGCACGCCTGGACCCTCGGAGCCTGGGACTGGCTGCAGCCCAGGCCCACACCGTGATCGGGCCTGTGAGAGACCCAGTGCCGGGGGCATCGGCTGAGCCACACTCGGATTCCCGTCTCAGCAAAATGGGAGCTAACATGGAGCTTGGGGTTATTTGTCACTGTCACATAGAGGCCAGTTAGACGTCTCTCTGGTTTCACCTCCAGACCAGCATCGATCCCTCGACACTGCCGGCTGTGACAGGGAGTGATCCTGAGGCTGAGCCGGACAGTGCCCAGTGCCCAGGGGACCCACGCAGGGGCCTGCTGTGAGGACCCAGCTGCCTAGAGGGCCCCACGAGCCCTTTCTCTCCTTGCAGGCACCCCTAAGTACCAGGCCGACTGACTGAAAGCTAGTGATGGACACAGCCTAGAGGGCATCTGTCTGCATCCTGGGGACAGCCTGGCTGCACCAGGGACAATATGCTGGCCCTCCTATGGGCTAAGCCGGGCCCCTTCCCCCTAGTTAATTTCTACCTCCCCTTTGGTGAGAGATCCTGTTAGTCCCCTGTATTTACACCAGCCTCAACACCAACACCATGCAGTCAGGGCAAATGCGTACACTGTGCTGTAGCCCATTTGGCAAACATCGAGGGAATTCTTTAATTGCAGTAAGACAAGTCCTTAGGGGATGGGCCATTGTTGCTAAGAGCTGTGTGCATCTATTAATTCCTTTTTCAGAATAAAAATATCTTACTTTTGTCACGTTTTAAAAATGTTAAAAATAAAATCAAACCATGAACACATCCCGTGGCTAGCCACACCCTGGCCCTCTGATCCCTCTGAGCATTATCATCTTTCAAACCTTAGCCAATTGATGTGCTCACCCATCTCATTGTTATTATTATTACTAGGTGCTCAGTGCACGAAATTTGTGCACAGGTAGGGTCCCTAGGCCTGGCCAGCGATCAGGGCTGATTGGGGCTTTCTGGTTGCCGGCCAGGGCCTTCCTTCGCTCTGTGCCACCCCCTGGTGGTCAGCACATGTCATAGTGAGCGATCAAACTCCCAGTCTTCCCGTCGTACTACAGAGGGGACACTTTGCATATTAGGCTTTTATATATAAACTAGAGGCCCGGTGCACAAAAATTTGTTCACTCAGGGGGGCCCCTCAGCTCAGCCTGTGCCCTCTCGCAGTCTGGGACCCTCAGAGATTGTCCACCTGCTGGCTTAGGCCCACTAAGCTGACAGTCAGACATCCCTCTGGCAGCCCAGGAGCCCTCGGGGGATGTCCACTTGCCAGTGGGAAGAAGGCCTAAGCTGCAGTCTGACATCCTTAGAACTGCTGAGGAGGCAGGAGAGGCTCCCACCACCACCTCTGTACTGGCAGGCATCAGCCTGGCTTGTGGCTGAGTAGAGCTCCCCCTGTGGGAGTGCACTGACTACCAGAGGGCAGCTTCTGCATTGAGCGTCTGCTCCCTGGTGGTCATTGTGTGTCATAGTGACCAGTCATTCCCAGGCATTCTGCTGTTAGGGTCAATTTGCATATTACCCTTTTAAATATAGGATATATAGATTATTTTTAATCCGCACCTGAGAATATTTTTCCATTGATTTTTAGGGAGAGTGGGAGAAGGAAAGACAGAGAGAAATATCAATATGAGAGAAACACATCTATTGGTTGCCTCCTGCACTCTCCCTGAACCAGGGCCCAGGCTAGGGAGGAGCCTGCAACTGTGATATGTGCCCCTGACTGGAATCGAACTCGGGACCCTTCAGTCTGCAGGCTGATGTTCTAGCCACTGAGCCAAACCGGCTAGGGCTTGTTGTTATTTTAATCAGCATCTCTTCTAATGAGGCAGAGCTTATTTCATGCATTCATTGTTGATATATTTTCTTTTGTGAACTCAAAAAAATTTTTTTTTATTAAAAATTTTTTTTTTTACTTTTTCAATCCTTACCAGAGGACATGTCCAAAAAGTGAGAGAAACATCGGCTGCCTTTTTGCATGGGCATGACAGGGACTGCAATTGCAACCCAGGCATGTGCCCCGACCAGGAGTTGAGCCAGCACCTGCTGTTGCACAGGATGATGCTCAATCAACCGAGCCACTCTGGGGGGCTTTTGTGAACTTCTGGCTCATGTTCTTTGCTCCGTTACTATCTATGGAGAATTTAATCTTTTTTTTTTTAACTAACTTTTCTGAGCTTGGTGGGAGGCAGAATTTTGGCCCCCATGACCTTCACCCACTGGCATCAGGCCTGTAGTTATGATAGGTCAGCGGCAAAGGGGATTTTGCAGATGTAATTAAAGTCACTAATCAGCTGATCTTAAATACTAGAAGAAGATGATCCTGGGTTGTCTGGGCTGCCCAGTGTAATTGCATGAGCCCTTGGAAGCAAAGAGATGTGGCCACAGGCAAAGCCAGAAGGATCTCGGAGGGAATTCTGAAGCCTCTCCTTCGGAGCATGAAAAGGATGCAATGCGCTCTTGATGGCTTTGATGATGGAGGGGCCATGAGTGAAGAGATGCAGTGGCCTCTAGGAGCTGAGACTGTGCCCTGGCCGGCCTTCAGCGGTGGGGACCTCAGTCCTAACCCCAATGGCAGTAAACTCTGCCAGGACCTGCTTGCGCCTGCTCCAGGCGCTGACACCTTGACTTAGGCCCTGGGCGGCCCTGGGATGAGCACCTGGCGCCGCTGGACCTCTGACCTCCAGGCCGGCCAGAGACGAAAACGGGAGCTGCGTTAAGCCACGTGTGTGGCAATGGGTCCCAGCAGGCACAGAGAACACGCTCTTTCTCTATCCACGCTGCGAACGCTTTCATACATGTTGTAAATAATTTCTCAAGTGTGTCATTTGTCTTTTAAACTTCACCCTCAAATAAACTCAGTCTTCCCAATGCCATTATCAGAGTTCCGTGCTGGGGGATGTCCTTTGCGGTCACCCCCCCACACGCAACTCACATGCAAAGCCCATCCTAGGCCCTCCCTGCCCCAGGGTTGCAGATTCAGTCGGTCTGGGGGGCCCAGGCCTCTGCATTTCTGAGGCTCCAGGGCTGGCTGCGGGCTGGGGAGTGGGCGGTACCATCTGTGATAGAACGCGCCCCTCCAGGGCCTAGGAGGGTCCTCAGGGCCCGCCTCTCCCTGGAAGCCCCGCCTTCACACTCAAGAACTCCGTTCTCATTGGCTGGAAGCGAAGGGCTCCCCTACGTCACAGTGCTGTTCACTTTTCTCGAACTCCAGGGGCGGGGACACTGCGCCTGCGCGGTGGAGCTCGGCGCTCTGCTCCGGAGCGTGTGCGAGGGTCCCGGCGGCGCGCGGAGACCCCATGGCGGAGTCGGAGCCCCTTCTGAGCCAGGCCCGC